CATAATTATTACCGCCTAGTACGTCACCTTTTTTGTGTATCATGCAAATGGTACTAAGTTCCCTTTCCATTGGAAGTGTCTCACTCTTCCAATTATGTTGAATTAATTTCTTTATTAGCTGTACACAGTTAGATCCCATAACTTTTAAAAGTTCTTAACAGTATATTGTCAGGTCCAGGATATTTATTTATTTATTTATTTATTTTTTTAAATAGTATTATTCACTTCTATCAATGGGGGAAGGATAAATAGGCTCTAAATTTCTGACTGTTGGTCCACTAACTTTTCAAGGCAGATCGGAATTCAGCAGCTCATTCAGGTGCTCCCTCCATCTTTGAAGAATGTCACCTTTTGCACTTAAAATATTGCCATCTTTTCCTCTGCATAGTGTAGTTCTTGCTTGAAGCTTCTTTGCCCACGATTAATATCATGAAAGAAAGCTCTGCTTTCCATTAAACTCACCTAAGATGTTCAACATCCTTTAAGAGATTTTCATGAAAATTCGTCTTCTTAATATGGCAGATCTTTTTTTTCCGGCACATTTATATTTGTGAATGGCTATTCTAGTACATTTCCTTTGTATCATATTCTTATATGCCCTATTTTTAAGTTCAGTAGCAGCTCTGCACTCCAGATCAAACCAATCATCAAATTTTTTTCTTTTTAACTTTTCCCATGACAGAGTTGCCAGTTTCCTTAGTAGCCAATTTTAGTGAATTCCATTTCTCATTAATATTTTTTAATTCATCCAATTTAATGTTTTTCAATTTTGTTTCCAATTTATTATGATATCTTTGCTTAATATCTGTATCTTTCAACAGCTGACAGTTATATTTTTCTAATTTCACCCCTTAGTTTTTACAAGCATTAGAAATTTTTGCTCTAATTTTCATCATTACTAGGTAGCGGTCTGAGTCAAAATTTGCTCCACGATATGATCTGACATCCAGTATGTCTGATGCATGTCTATGATCGATTAAGATGAGATCAATCTGATTAAAGTTGTCACAATCTGGAGAGCTCCATGTCATTTTGTGTATATGTTTGTGTTGAAAGGAAGTATTGGCCACCACCATATCATATCCTGCAGCAAAAAATACTTACTTCTATCTGTTATTATTTGAATAGCAATGTAGGCTGTGCCCACCAGTGGTGGGTCTGAACTTGTCTTCTTTCTCAATCCTGGCATTTGCATCACCTAACAGTATTTTTATACCATGTTTGAGACTGGAAGAATACAATGCATGGATTTTTTCATAAAAAGTATCTTTTCCTTTCTCATCTTTGTCCTTTGTTGGGGCATGTATATTTATTATACTATAGCTTAAAAATTTGCCTCTCAATTTCATCTTGCATAGTCTAGGCGATTTGGCTTCAAAATCAATGATAAGATGCCTAATCATCTTATGAACAATGAAGCCTGTACCAAATGTATGCTTCTTAGGATCACAACTGTAAAATACTGTGTGATTTCTGCCATCCTGAATTCTCTGTCCAATCTGTCTCATTTCCCGAAGGGCCATCAAATCAATCCTATAACTATTCATGATTTCTGTTAAAAAGGATAGACCCTTGTTTCTATAAAGCGAGCATAAATTCCATGTACCGAATCTCAAATCCTTAAAATCCTTTCCAAGTCCTCTCTGCATTGTTAGTCCAGAAAATTCCTCCTTTGATTTCGTAACAAGAGTTTTTTTACAGGGTGAGGTAGTTGGCCTCACGCCCAACTAGGAGGACCAGGCCTCAAATTTATAAACCCCCTGGAGGCAGGGACGCCCAACTATAGCCCTGGATACTGGGTACCCATTTTAGTCACCTTTTAAGACATGCATGACTATTCTTTCACACCCATTCAGTACACGGGTACATTGCATTTTGCTTCAGCAAAATCTTTAAGAAAAAAATAACCATTTTGCAAGGCACTCTGGGTAGAACTATTTCGATTGTCAACTTTATTCGCTTAAACGCAATGCGTCAATGTGAATTTTGGCAAATGCTAAATTTAGACAAAGAAATTAACAGTGTTGATCGTACCACTGCATGGCTATCAACAGGTCAGGTTTTGATAAAAGTTTAACTTTACAACCATAAATTTTAAACTTTTGTCAAGAACAAGGAAAACTAAGTGATCTATCAGATGAAGCATTTCGCAGAAACATTGTTTTTTTTTTTTTTTTTCTGATATTATGAAAAACAGAACAATTTAAATATTTGCATATTAAAATGAAGCACATATATGAAATGTGGAAAAGATCCAAGCATTTTGAAAAACAAAATTAACGTTTTTCAAAACACTGCTCTTTTGTTTAGATATATCTGAAGAAGATTTCCTGGAGCTACAAAAAAATATTGAATGAGCAAAAATGTAAAATTAAAACATTCGATGAATATGTAGGTGTGTTGGATATTTTAACAGATGAATATACTGGAAGATTTTCAAATTCTGATGAGCACACTTCTGCTATGAAACTGGCATTTGAACCATTCTTAGTAGATATATCAAAATTTCCTACGAAACTACGAATAGAGTTATTTTAGTCGCAGGAAGATAGAATCCTCAAATCTGTTTTTGATGCTAAAAAGAATCCCATAGAAATCTGTAACAATGTTGTTGAATATCCATGCGAACTAGAGTATCTGCGCCATTTACTTTCCTGCTTTAGAAGAGTACTTGCTGCTGCGAAGCAACATTTTCTGTCATGACAAAAATGAATAATGCATTTAGTAGTAAAAAGTAGTAATAGCAATGAAAGTTAAAGAATGCAAATTACAGATGCTCATTTAGAGGATCTACTAATGCTGCACCTTATGAAACTTGATCCAAATATTCAATTACATTCAGGTAAAAATCAAATGCAAATATCTCACTAAATTAAATTTTCCATTGGATTTTAACATTATTTTACATACTGCTGCTATGTATTTTTTATAATTTAATATTATTTTCTGTTGTTTGTCTGTTGTAATTATTTTCTGTTGTTTGTCTTTAGAATGTAATACATTTATTGAAAAATACTTCTATTTTATAATTTTTATTTGAAACGGTATTTAAATACATATAGTTGCTTATTAAAAATTCTTAAAGATTAATGTTATGATAAGTTATTACCATAACATTAATCGATACTTACGTTTGATTAATGACACTTATGTGAATACAAAACTATTTTATATTGAAAATTTTTATTTGAATATAAAATATTTAATTAATTATTGTTTTTCTCCCTGTTATTTCTATATAATGCAATAAAGTGATTGAACTATACAAAACTGTAGTATTTTCACAAAAGCCACATGTATAGGTATATCAAGTTATGCAGCCTCCTTTATCACTGCCTAATTTAAATGTAGGGTCTCATGGTAATAAGGTTTCCCACCTCGAGTTAGACATTAGTGCAATGTCCATCAGTTGTGCTAAGCATTAAATAAACTTGACATACAATTTCAATCACTGGGTGCTGCATAAGCTGACTCAAGCAGATAAGGACAGAAATGTTTGGGCCTGCACTAATTTGCTCGAATATCAATGCAAGGACAAAATTCTGGACTGGATCATCACTTGTGATGAAAAGTGGATTTACTTCAACACAAGCCAAAATGGGGGTTGGTCTGCGGCCATTGAGCCCATTGGCAGCGTCGCAAAGCACAATTTGACTAACAAAAATATCATGCTTTGTATCTGGTGGAATTACCATGGTATTATCCACAAAGTGTATAAGGGAAAAGGTTAACCCTGAACAGTAAGGTGTACAGTGAGATGCTAGTCTGTGTTGACACTGCTATCAAGGGAAAACCTCGAATTGACTCTTTGTCACACCCACCATATAACCCTGACATCGCTCCTTCGGACTTCTACATTTTTTCACGCCTGCAGGTACACCTTGCTGGTGCTATCTTCTATTCTGCACAGGACATCCAAAATGAGGTTGATCTGTTTTTGGACTCATGGCCACCAAGTTTCTAGTACCGAAGGCTACTACCAAAACATTGGCAGAAAATCAGAGATTTGAATAGCGATTACTAACCGTACTAAAGCTTTGCTTTCATTTTTTCTAACTTTATTAAGAATGTTTTTTAGTCGAAAACTTTTATTACAACCAGATAAATTTATCAAGGGCACCTCATGGTTTTATTATTCATAATGTGAAATTATAGATAAATTTTTTACAGAGAATTATTTTTATCTCTTATTCCTGATAAAATATATACACAGTTTTTATCCTTTTTAGTTCATTAACTATTTTATAAATTTTAAATAAAGCTAATTTTGTAAAACCTTAGTCATTTATTTATTTTATTACATATTTTTTGGTTGCAATATATAATTGTTATGCACACAAAAATACAACTTTAAATATCACCATTTGGATGAAATGTGAATTTTCAAATTAAAAATTTTTCACATTTAGGATTCAAATTTAATTTAGTCAACCATTAGACAATACCCCTTGTGTTTTAATGGTTCTTGTAAATATATATTATATTCAAAAGAGCTTATAAATAACTAAGTAATTTCTGCAATAATAAATTAAGGTATTTTTAAATTATACTTTAAGTAAAAATGATATGCTATTTGTCTTTGACATAGAATAACAATTTTTAGATATACTTCTTAGCTGTTACTAAATGAATAATTAAATTCATTAGAAAATGCTCATTACATATAAATCCTTAAATTAGAAAATAAATAACAGTATATTTAGTAAGTAGAATTCTTAAATTTTTAGTTTCTGTAAAACCTACAAATTAATCAATTTACACTTCATATTTTTAACCTCTTCCAATAACAAGTAATACTATAGCTTAAAGCTAAAAATCAAAAGTATAAACTCAGGTCTGTGCTTAAATTTAGGTATGCTCTTACAAATAAAACGTAGCAAAAATTACAAAAAAATTTCACATTATATGAAATTAAGATTTTATAGAAATGTTTCAAAATATAGCTACATTTAATTTTAATTGCCTTAATCAAAAGAAGGATTCGAAAAGTTAATATTTACCATTTCTGCAATTTTTGTAATGGGCAACTTTTCTATTGAAAAAAACTGAATGCGAGAGCTACAGTTACTGGCAACTATGCAGAGCCCATTTGTCTCCTGTTGAAATAAAACAACTGTATAAAGAATCAAAACTATGCAATATATAAATGTCAAATACTTGTTATTGCTCATAATAGCAACTATGTAGCATGTTTAAGATACTTAAAATCAACTTATTATTTAGTACTATTAGGTTAGTTTTTATTTTTCCCACATTTAAATGATGCTGTTTATGCCCAAGTCCTAAATAGTCAAAGAGCAAAAATAGTATTTTTAAGAATAGTTTCATAATTTAGATACTACCTGATACTTATTATTCCAATCTTAAAATTTTGAACATACCTTCCTCAATGATGTTTATGTGAATTTTTTTTTTTTTTTTTTTTTTTTTTAATATGCAGGTCTCTCACTACAAAATTGGAAGTTTAAAAGAATATAATATACAAGTAATAATGTAAAGAATAAAAAGATACTTCTATATTTAATTTCCTCTGACAATCTTAAAAAGAAAGAGTAATAAAGTTAGAAATGAATTTTGTCTAACATTTCTATCATAATCTCACAGAAATTGCTAAAAAATTTATTTCATTTATTTATTATAACTAATAGGTATATTTAATTGAGCAATTCAATTATATGCAGTATTGTTTGAAAGTATTCAAATATAAACTCCTTTTACTTCTTGCAATCACATAAAGCATAATTAAGAACACATAAAAGATTACACGTTTTTCGTTTAACTCGAAAAACAAAATCATTATTTCTATTGAATTATCAGCATAAAATATTTAAAAAAAAATATTTTTGCTTTTATTGCAGCTTTGAACCTCTCTAGCACTGAGAAGAGTAATTTTACTACATCTTCTTTATTAGATCACCCACCTTAATTTGTACTTTTCTCAAACTGTTCTTAATTTCAGATTCATCAACAGTTGGTCTACAAAATCCTGTTTGTGTTTAATGTTATTGGTTTTGTGAACAATGCGGATATTGCAGGATTTGGAGCACCTCAGTAGCTTCTCCTTTTGCTGAATACAGTGAATTCTTGGTCACAAATATAATTTGTTTCTGGAGGCTGTTCATCACATGAAATATTCGTAAATAATTTTTCCCTCAGGAAATATTTTGATCCATTTCTGGACTACAAATGATTTCTTAATTAAATTTTTACAAGACTACTTAGTGCAAGGGTTTCTAAGAAAAACTTGATGGGAAACATCAAATCAAAGATAAAGAGGGGTAGAAACACAATACAAACAAATAAAAACTTAATTTTATTGTATTTATATCAAAAATTGACATCATATGTGGATGCTGGTTAGAAAGGGAAGAAGATGTTGCTGCTTGGTTGTGCACTTCCCTTTCATTTAAAAAAAAAAAAAAAAAAAAAATTGTTTTCTGCTAATTCACTAGACCCCTGTCTCAATAAAAATTTGTCCAGTATTATTGGTTTCTGTCTGCAGTTCAAAATTTTCCTGAAATGAGACACACGAAAAATGTTTATGCTATGGCTTGCTATTGCTTTATCACGATATTATTCCATGGAACTTAATAACATTCTGTATAAATTTTGTGAATCAAAGAACTAGGATCATCTTCCTTTTATTCTTCATTTGCAAGACATTTTCTTTACAATTGTCCTTCACTACATTTTAAGTTATTCCAATCCTTCAGTCTTCCTCATTTTATGGTATTCTTACTAACTTCTTTATGTCTTCATTGTTAACTTCCAAATCCATAGTTTTGCCTAGACACAAAGTATCACAGATCACAAAAAAATCCTTACCATCAAAGCCTCAAAATTCCTGTATCATGATTTGGCCCTTACAGACCTGTAAGTCACTTGCTGCTGAGAGATAAAGAGTATCAAAATGTTTCCACAAGCCTCATGGTGCTAATTCTGTGTCTGAAATACTTCCAAAACGCTTTGAAAAATCATTTACCAGCTTGCATGTTCATTACTTGAGCCATTTCGAGACATTTTTTTTGTTTGGAAAATATATCTTGCATTCATGGCCCGAGACTCCAATGTAATTTTTAAATAGCTTAAAATTATACTCTGGTTCATTGTTTTGTTAATAACAAAATATTTAGTCAATGAAAATGAAGCCCACTTATATATCATAACAAATAAGGTTCATAAGACATTACCTAATCAACTTTTCCAAAAACTTTATATGTATCCTAGTTCTTTAATTGTATATCACCACCAAATACTAATACCAACCTTCATCTAACACATGTTCATCCTTTTCGTAATAATCTAATATATTATGACCTCTCATCAAATTAATCTGTGAAGAATGCTTTAGTCCATTAATCAGTTGTCGAATTTCTATGTTTCTAGCACTTTTCTTTGTTTTACAAAGGAAGGGTGGCGATAAGATGTTTTCTTGCCCTCAATAACTTTTTTTTAATGCTACGAAAAATAAAAAATTCACTATTTTTTCAATCTTCAGCAATCAAAGATACGATGGACAATATTTGAAAATACATTTTACATTGTTTCCATTCTTACCTTCGACAAAGATAGCCGATGTAAAAATAACCATCTTTTGTGGTTTTAATTGGTTGTTTTATACCGAGCAAAAGAGAGAATTGCAAAAAATTTTTTGAATGCGGGGTCAGAATGTAAAATCTTTGACATTGAGAATCAAAATGATTCCCACTTGTAATCATAGTGAAAAACACAGTTGTATAAAATTAAGTTGGGACTGTATACGAGTAAACTTGTATGCAACTGAATGCCGTTTAATATTTTATTTCATTTTCTCTGTACTTGCTTGGTTACTGATGCCAGTTTGTTCATCAGAACAATTGTGTTTTCTTTTTAGGTAAAAACAGAAATCTTCTGTTGTAAAATGCCTAAATATTACAGTTGTGATTGCTGTAAAGTTTGCAAAACTTCAAATAATTTGAAGTATCGGGTTGGAGGGAAAGTTCTGTCGTATTTTAAATAGGCAGGTGATTTTTCTTGTAAATAAAAAAAAATCTGGCTAGTGAGTCAATCGGATTTTTTTTTTTTTTTTTTTTTTTTTTTTTTTTAGCTGCTGTATAATATAAAAGGTGCCCTTTTTTACCGTTCATCATTTACTTGTAATATTTAAAGGGAAAAACATGTCGGTAGATAAAGTGCATTTACGACACTGCATTTTATATGAATTCCAAAAAGGAAGCAACGCATCTGTTGCATGTAAAAATTTATGTGCGGTATTTGGAAAAGATATTGTAAATGTTCGTACTTGTGAAAGATGGTTTAGCAAATTTCGTTCCGGGGACCTGAGCCTCAAAGAAAGTGTTCGATCTGGACGACCATCCAAGATCGATAATGATGTTTTACGATCCATGTTGGAAAATAATCCACATTTAACAAGTCGAGAAATTGCAGAAGAGTTTGGCATTCATCATAAAAGAAAAAAATCTTACTGCAAACCAGGAACATCATCAGCAACAGTTCCAAAACCAAGTATCCATCAACGAAAAGTACTGCTTTGTTTGTGGTGGGACAGGAAAGGTCCAGTGTATTACGAGTTGCTGAAACAGGGAAAAAACATCAACGCGGATCTGTACTGCAATCAGCTGGATAAATTGAATGCAGCTATCAAAGAAAAAAGGCCAGCATTAGCGTCCAGAAAAAGAATAGTGTTCCATCACGATAATGGATAATGCTCGCCCGCATACTGCAGTGGTGACACTACAAAAACTGAATGCGTTAAGATGGGAAATCCTTAGTCACCCCCCGTATTCACCTGACATTGCACCCTCTGATTATTACCTGTTCAGATCTCTGCAAAATTATCTAACGGGAAAAAAATTCAAGTCTTTTGAAAGTGTTTCTAAGGCAGTTGCTGACTATTTTAACTCCATGGATGAGAACTTCTACAAAACAGGAATTTACAGGTTACCTGGAAGATGGCAACAGGTTGTAACAAATAACGGAGCATATATAATTGATTAATATTAAACACATATTTTTATAAATGAATTCAAATATTTTCTTTAAAATACGACAGAACTTTCCCTCCAACCCAATACTTGCAAAATATGGATTTATGAAACTGTTTTGGAAGAACAAGACAAAACTATTATGTCAGCAATGCTTCCCATAAGTATAATGCATCTGCAGAAATAAGAAATGGAACTACAATGTCTACTTCAAAAATCGTGATTCCTGTTGGTCATACTGCTGACACTCACAGGCAATGTATTACGGGCAGCAATCAAAACAGTCTTAACCATACCATTGGAGGCTCATTGTAAGTTATTTATAGACAATGGCTTTATTATAAAGGAGTTTGCTGTTGTCAAAATCATGTAGATGGATGATTTTTTAAAGACATCAAAATCATATCAAAGGTATCAGACTGGTGATACAGATTTTTCAGTGACACTGAAATATCAGAACTACTTCAGAGTCTAAACACAAACTGAAGGCAGAAAAGGTTTAAATTTCCTAACATATGCCTAACATATTTATGAACAAATATTATTGAAACTGACACTAACTTACTGAAATTTATATTGAATATTTTAACTACCTGTTGAACATCATAAAAAGTAGACTAAGAAGTTCAGTGACCAGAAGTGCTCAACTACATTAACAATCTTTTTTAACAAAACTTCAAAGTGGATTCTTTTATCACATTTTGTCAATTACTTTTGCATTATCCGAAGAGGTAACAAAAATATGTGATCTTTCTGTTAAAAAGCTTTCATGAATGAATTGTACTGGTGCATCTTGGCTTAAATCATGTAAGTAGATTGTATATCATATTATAGTATTTTTATTTTATTCAAAATGGTTAAGAAGTCTTGCTAAAACTATGTTTGCTCAATGAGGAGATAAAGGTACTATTTTGGTATTAGATGAAACCTACATCTATACAGAGGTGAGTTCTAGCTACTATTTTTGAAGAAAAACCTATTCATTACACAGGGGTAGACCACACATAAAGCCAGCATTAATTGTGAGTATAATAGGATATATTTTAGATGTTTTAGGCACTTATTTTGCTGATGGGAAAAATAATTAAGCCTCCATAATAACAGATCATGTG